TATAACCTTCCTCGCGTACATTTAATAATACCTACCTATTTTTAAATTATCGGCAATCCCTAAACTTTTCGAGAATGTAATCACTGCCCTCTCCCCCCAATTCTCCACATCAGCATGGTTTTATGAGGCGAAGATCAACCACAACTAATCTTTTGGAACTTACCTCATTTGTTATAAGAGGCATTCAAAGTAACCTTCGAACCGATGTGATCTAGACGGACTTTAGTAAATCTTTCGACGCGGTTAATCAGTCTCTTCTTGTTAGGAAACACGATTCTATAGGGTTTCCTGGTGATCATCATAAGTGAATTTCGAGTTATCTTAGTGACAGGACTCAAAAGGTTCTGTTTAAAAATGCTCTATTAAATAGCCTCAGTGTCACGTCTGGCGTCCCACGAGGCAGCCACCTTTGTCATTCACACTGTTTATCAATGACCTGCTGCAGGTTTTAACAAAATCTAGAGTACTTATGTATGCTGATGACGTTAAACTTTGCGTGCAGTATAGGGATAGTTACATGCGTTGAGTCACGCTAACTCTTTACATCTCAACAGTTCTAAATGCAACCTGATGACATTTTCACGAGTCTCTCCTCTGTTTGCTACTTATATGCTTAAAGACTGCGCTTATTATTAAAAGGTGGTCGAAAGAATTCGATTCTCCTCATGTAACAAACACGCTTTACTCGTCATTAGTTCGCCTTTATTGGAGTATGGTTCTTGTGTTTGGAGCCCTCAATTCGGAGTCCATAGTAATCGCATTGAGTCTGTACAAAAGAGCATCTATCTGCTTGGTCAGCTCAATTTCCATGTTCCCCGACTAAAACCTACAACGTTTTTCCCTCAGTAGTACATCACTGTAAGAGAGAGTTTGAAGTACATGAACCCCTTAGAGTTTTATGTACCGATTACAATCGCCTCTTTGAATATATTGATGGCATTGAAAGCCTTTCTAAAATAAAAACTTTATTACTTGAAGAATTAGCTCGTAATGTATACTAATTTTCCTTGTTCTATTACCTATTTTCCTTCTCTCGCATTTATCTAGTACGTAAACGTGCCGTACGTCACACGGCTGCGCCCCTCTGTCGGTTGGGTCGAAGGTGGTAGGCTTAGGAATCGGGTCAAAAAATAAACAAAAAAATTCCATAGTTCCTATAGCAACTAATTGATATAGTCTTTCGATAGGGCCCGTTCTGACATATATAGGAGTGAGAGTATATAGAAGACAAACTACAAAGTTTCATTTGGATAACTTCAAAACTTTGAGACTAGTTTGCGTAAAAACGAACGGACAGACGGGTATGGCTAGATCGTGATCTTTATATGATCGGCCCCCGGGCCATCAAAGTTGTCGGCTAAATGTTATTTTACCCACAGCTATTTAAACGAGTCTCAATGAGTCAGTTAGTCTTCTACATACTCTCACTCTTATATAAGTCAGAACGGGTCAGATCGGACGACTATACCATATAGCTGTCAATGGAAGGATCGGAAAATTAAAAAAAAAAAAATTTTACTTTTCCAGTTTTAAACAGATTTGCATATAATTTTGTTTAAAGTTTTACTAAAACCGAACTGCTATATCATATAGTTACACACACAACAAAAAAGTATATGAATAATCAAGAACATTTGGCTTGATTTACCGATGTGTGGTGCCTTAAAATTTTAAGTACGATTCGGTTTAAATGGTCAAATTAAGCCCGTATCAGGATTAAAATTAATTTAAATCTCGCACATTTTTATACCCTTGCAGGATATTATAATTTCAGTCAGAAGTTTGCAACGCAGTGAAGGAGGCACCTCCGACTATATAAAGTATATATATTCTTGATCAGGACCAACAGCCGAGTCGATCTAGCCACGTCCGTCTGTCCGTCTGTCCGTTTCTACGCAAACTAGTCTCTCAGTTTTGATGCTATCTGAATGAAACTTTGCAGTTAGTCTTCTATATACTCTCACTCGTATATATATCGGAACGGGCCGGATCGGACGACTATATCATATAGCTGCCATAGGAATGATCGGAACATTTTTACGAAAAAAATTATAACATTTTTAGTTTTCAACAGAATTTGATCAAATTTAAGATATAGCCATTTCATATTATTCTACAATTTTGTGTAAAATTTTATGAAAATCGGACGGCTATATCATATAGCTCCCATAGGAACCATCGAGAAATTTGAGAGGAATGAGAATGGCGGTGGCTGTTGTCGGAAGACTGACAATCGCGGTGGCGATAACATTTTTAGTTTTCAACAGAATTTAATCAAATTTGAAATATAGCCATTTCATATTATTCTAAAATTTTGTGTAAAATTTTATGAAAATCGGATTACTATATCATATAGCTCCCATAGGAACGATCGAGAAATTAATACAATTAAATTTATAACTTGTTTAGTTTTCAGCTGATTTTCATCAAATTTGAGGTATAGCCATTTTATATAAGTCTTAAATTTTGTGGCAAATTTCATAAAAATCGGACGACTATATCATATAGGTGCCATACAAACGATCGTTTGATGTAGAGGAAAAATGCAAATCTGTGAATGTAAAACTGCAAATATAATATGTATAGGTGAATGAAATGAAAGCAGGTATTACTTCATTGGTTTTTAACACAAATACAGTCGAATCCCGATAATTCGTACCCCGCTAAATCGAAAATCGCGATAATTCGTAAAAAATTCTGTCCCCTTGAAAAAAACTCGTTAATTCGTAAAAATTCCATACATTTTGGTCCCCTCGTTAATTCGTAGTATTTGGCGCAACGCAAAGAATATTGAACCTCTTATAAATCGTAATTTTGTTTCGAAACCTCTTATAAATCGTAATGCGATGCGAAATATTTTGTAGTTAAAGCGACGTTAGATTTTGCAGGCATCAGAACGGAGAAGAAATTTTATAGAATTTACAAACCAGAGCATTAATTCCTCAATTTAAACATTATTTTTCGACTCATGATGTGCCAAATAGTGTGTTTGACAACCTAATAGGTTTAGAAAACGCAATGGAAAAAATATAAGAAAAAAACACGAAGCAATAAAAAATTACCAATTATTTTAAATCTTGAATTTTCATTTTTAATAATTTAATCTTTCTGCTTAATTTTGTTTGTTAATTTTTTGTTTGATTTTCCTTTAATTTGAAAAACGTACAAACGAATGTACATATTTATTATGTAAACATGATGTGAAATGTAAAAACCCCGTTTATTCGACTCTTTCATTTTTGAGCCCCTTTAAATAGAAATCTCGATAAATCGAATTCCCGTCTAATTCGTAAAAAAAGTGATCCCCTTGCCATTTCGAATTATCGGGACTCGACTGTATATATAATTTATATTGTATGGATTCCTATTCATAGAAGTTCTATCTGCAAGGGTACATAAACTTCGGCGTGCCGAAGTTAGCTTCCTTTCTTGTTTCATATGACTCCCAAGTGATTCTAATATCCCTGGCATGAGGTTACGGTTGCCGACCAACTCTTAGATAAGTACATATGTATGTATGTTCGCAACGACATCTGCAAGCAAAAACAAAAAACTCATAAATATGATAATTATTAATATAGACATTAGACTTAACATAATTAAAATTAATGTTAATCGCAAAACTATAAAATATTAATTTAAGAAAATTTCAGCACAGCAAATCTAAATTTAATCGTATTTGGGATTAGAAGTGTAAAGAAGTTTGGGGATTAAAAAAAAATTCTTGGTATTAAAATATTTAAAAACGGTGATAATTGAATTAAGAATTTTTTAGATTAAAAAATCTAAGAATGGTCGAGATTAAATCAAGAATTTTTGTTATTAACATTCGAAATAGAAAAAATTAATTTAAAAAAATCAATGTCAAACACGCGCAAACGCAAATAATGTTGTTTTTATCAAAAAACAGGCATAAAAAATGGCATGTTTTGTTTTGATGCCAATCTCTAAAACCGAAGCATTTTGCTTTGACTTTTGGTTTCTAATATGACAAAAAAAAAAACCCAAAGAGTCAATATAAAATGCAAAAGGACATATGCGATTACCAATAGTCGTACAGTTTTAATTTAAATTATCGCTTTCCAAAATTTCGCGTGCGCCCGGGACTAAAATTGAATTTAAAAAATAACTACATAATATTTAAAAATCGAACAAAATACATTATTAAGAGAATTCATTGCGTAATTCATTAAAATTTATTAAACTACAATTTTTCATCACGTTTCGCTGAAATCAGAGCTTAAACTGGTTTTTTGCAAATCTAACTTCTGTTTTTGTCGCGTGCGAACGCAGTACATTTTAGTGAATATCTTGAAAACAAACAAGGGTTCAAAATCGACCTTAGCACCATTTATAGTGCTAACCAAGACCTATACGATTTAATTTTTACAAAATTAAAATAAAGTCTTGGCACATGTGTCTTTTTAGTTTGAATGCGTACCAATGTCGCATTCGACACCAGAGAATTGCCCATATAAATTAAATATGGATATGTTTTAATGAAACAATTGCATTTTAGAAGGGTATAAAAACTTTGAGGCTCGGGAGCTAGCTTCCTTTCTTGTTTCTCTTGATTTCAGTGTGACCCACCGTTATCTTTCGCATACCCTTTAAGTTTGCTTCTGTATAAATCAAGACATGCGTTAAGATCTACAAATATATTTCGAAGAGCCTGATAAATGGCGAGAACAAGAACGAAAATTACTTTTATGTGTAAATAATTATACGCTAATCCTTTATTGCGTTTATGCGTTTCAGTCTCAAAATTTAGAGATTTAGGAAATTTTTCTGGTAGTATTAAAATTTTTAAGTTTTTTTGTATAATTTAAAAGATTTTTATTTAGTTCTGTATAACCTAAACAAATGATGGTAAAAAAAGACCGACTAAGATAAATTTTCTCGGAATTATATGTTAAATGTTCTCGGAATTATATGTTAAAAACTAAATGTTTTCTATAACTTTGTCATTTCTTTCATTTTTATGCGGACAAATCTTTCAGGCTTTGCTTATAACGAACCATAACTACCCGGTGGAAGAGCACATAGTGCACACGCTGGACGACTACATCCTCACTATTTACCGCATACCCACATCACCAAAGCATCATCAGTCAAATGGCTCCCATAAAAGACCTGTTGTTTTTCTGCAACATGGCATCCTTTGTGCCTCCGACGACTGGATTATCAATGGTCCAGAAACGTCTCTGGCCTATATGTTTGCGGACGCCGGTTACGACGTATGGCTGGGAAATGCTCGAGGCAACACCTATTCTCGTCAGCATAAACACATCCACCCGGATACGTCCGATTTCTGGCGTTTCAGCTGGCATGAGATTGGGGTCTATGACCTAGCTGCCATGTTGGACTTTGCCCTTGCGGAGAGCCACTCCAGCTCACTGCACTTTGTGGCACACTCGCAGGGCACAACAACGTTCTTCGTTTTGATGTCTTCTCTGCCTTCGTATAACGAGAAAGTACGGTCCGTGCACTTATTGGCACCCATCGCCTACATGCGCAACCACTCTTTCATTCTGTCGAAGTTGGGGGGCCTCTTTCTGGGATCACACTCGTTTTTAAGCTCCGTTCTTGGAAGCATGGAACTGCTACCCATTACAGGCGTTCAGAAGATGATGTGTGAGCATGTCTGCTCTGTGGGCTCAATGTTTCAGTTCTTGTGCTCTGGGCTGCTGGACTTTATCGGGGGCTGGGGAACTCAGCATCTTAACCAGGTGAGTATGGTTTTTATTTCTGTTTTTAGGCTAATTCATTTCGTTCCAGACATTGCTTACAGACGTGTGTGCAACCCATCCGGCTGGAGCATCCACCAGTCAGATTATCCACTACCTGCAGCTTTACACCTCAGGGGATTTCCGGCAGTATGACTACGGGCGTGAACAGAATGAAATAATCTACCAGCAACCTACCCCACCTTCCTATAATGTTCAAAACATCAAAAGTTGCGTAGACATGTATTACAGTGACAATGACTACATGTCTGCGGTGGAGGACGTGGAGTACCTAGCTACATTGTTACCCTGCGCTAAACTTTATCGAATTCCATACTCTGACTGGAACCATTATGACTTTCTATGGTCATCTAATGTGAAGGAGGTAATTAATGATAGGATAATAGAAAAAATGCTTAGATATGACCTGGAACATGTCTTGGACAAAAGTTTCTAATATGTATGATCTCTTAATAACGTTAATGGAAACAACTACAAATTTGTTGCTATATATGAACATATTAAATACTTCAGCTTGTAATACCAATGCCTGTACGTGATATTTTGTTTGGTAAATGACTTGACAAAAAAAAAATAAAAAAAAAAGACCAATTTTGTAGTAAATGAATTTTTCTGGACAAAAAATATAAAAATAATTCTGTTATTTATAAAAATACATAACATGTTATTTATAAATTTATAAATTACATAAATATACGATTTTAAGACAAGGTTAATAAAGAACGGGAGACTAATATGATAGAATGCTATAACACTACAAGCCTACCTTTATATATACGAACTGGCCAGATTTATATAACCTTATGCGAATGATCGGTTAACTAACTAAGCCGTCAATGCAAGAGTTAAAAAAAAATTTAATGTAATTGTAAAATTGCCAATTGAAGTGACCAACTATTTAAATGGACGTTGATAATCTACGTTAATAAATTATCTAAACATTCATTCAATTCTATGAAGACATTAAGCTAGCTCTCCATATCCGAACGGATTGTTTACATATTTACATATATTGCCATTACACACTATCTTTCGAAGGTTAACTAAGAGAAGTAAGACGAGACTGCTAACAAAAATTAAGTAACCCTAGGGCGAACTAACTAAATACCTAAGTCTTCGTAGCTTAGGGATCAACCAATTTCTTCGAGCTCTTTTAACCGGACGGCCCTCCTGAGGGTGCCAATCATAGGACAGTACGGCCCTTATTTATCCAGATGTTGTTTTCAAATGGTCCTGAAGAATCTTAAGCGGTGTTGAAATCCTTTAGGATCGCGGTAGTTTTTGCGAAGGCAAGTAGTTCACCTGGCGACCTCTTGGAGGCATCCACTAGTGATGCCAGTACTGGGGCACCTAAGTGCTTTACTCTTGCCTGCGTTAGGGCTGGGCACTTACAGATGAGATGCTCCAAAGTTTCGATTGCCTCAGATTCATCGCATTTCCTGCAGTTGCCGCTGTTGGTGATGCCCAGCTTGACTGAATGCGCGGCAGCCTGGCAATGACCCGTAAGCATTCCCACTAGTAGTGTGCAGTCTTTTCGGGATAGATGCAGAACGTAGTGGCTGAGTTTGTCATTGCGCTCTTTGCACATGCCTTTAGTTGTTTTGCAAGTCGCAGAGTTTCCTCTCCACCTGGTTTTTGCTCGTACGTCCGACCGCCTCTCTAACTCGCTTTGGAGCGTTCTTAGAGAGACTGGGACGTTTTCTGTTCTATCAACAGCCAGTCCGACTTCTTCCTTTGCCAGTTCGTCTGCGATTTCGTTTCCCTCTATGCCCTGGTGGCTGGGAACCCAGTAGATCCGCACTGACATTATCGTGCTCAGGATATCTAGTGCGTCCCTGCTTGCCAGTACATTTTTGGAACTGACCGCTGACGATTGCATGGATCTAATCACCGCCTGACTGTCTCCGAACAGGTTTACCGCCTCACATGGGCGGGCTATTTCCTGCGCAAGCTCTGCTGCCTTCCTGATGGCGAAGACTTCCGCCTGGAATATGCTGCAATGGCTTGGTAGCTTATACGACAGCCTCATCTCGGGGTCTGTACAGTATATGCCCGGTCCAACTCCTCCTTCCGTCTTGGAGCCGTCAGTGTAAATATTGAGGTGTCGAGCGTGGTCCTGATCCCTTTTCAAGTCTTTAGGTCCCATAAATGTAGATGTTTTCATATCCGGGCAAGTTCTAGGCGTCATGTAGTCAGATACACTGCTCATGGTTCGTCCAATTGAACTGTGCCCGTATCCTTTTGTTGACATACTTCCTAGCTGTGCGTGGATGTCCAGGGGATCAATTCCAAGTATCGTCTCTAGAGCTTTTGTGGGGGTTGACCTCAGCGCCCCAGATATGCAGAGCATTGCCTGCCGCTGGGTTCTCCCTATAAGCATTTTGTAGGTCCTCTTTTCCATGGCTTTCCACCGCACTAAGATCCCGTATAGCAGAGTCGGACGCACCACCGATATGTAGACCCAGTGGATGCATATAGCGCAATGGTGGCCTTTTTCACCCTCTCTAGTACATTGGGTTTCCATGCCAGCTTGCTTGGGGGGATTACCATGGAAGCGGTGCCCCAATGCGATTGTAACCGTCGGCAACTTAATAAATTTCCGATCCAAAAACTTGATGGTGGGGTGCGTGTTAGTCGCTCCTAGGTGCTCCATTATTGCGTTTGTGATTACATTGTTGAATGCCCCGGATATGTCTACAAAGACTCCGAGCGCATAAATATTGTTGTGCAGGCAGACGGCGAATACAGCGCCGTCTCCACTGATTTCCCTTTTGTATATGCGTGCTGGTTGGTTGACGGTGATCTGAAGTATAGGTCCAGCAACTTTTCTAGCGTTTTCAGTAAAAAGGAGCTGAGGCTTATCGGCCTGTAGTCTTTTGGACTGACGTGGCTGCTCTTCCTGCTTTTGGCAGGAAGACAATCCTCGAGGTCTTCCATTGGGCAAGAAGTGTATATTGCGTATAGCCATGGAAGCCGCGAAGGAGTCTATAGCCCAGTAAATTCTTTTAGAGAATATGAGTTAATTTGAGTGATGCTCTTCCCTGGTTGCTAGTACCTGGTGCTTGTTAGCATCGCTGATCTCTGTGCAACCTGGGAAGTGCTCGTGCATTAGTGGTGTTAGGGCCTCTTCGCTGCCCTCAGTCCACTACCCGTCGTCGCGTTTGAGCCGACTCTGTATGGTGGGTTGCTTTAAAAGCAACTTCCGTAGTCTAGCCGCTTCTGAGGCCGTCTCTATGTTAAAGCAAAAAATCCTCCGAGAGCTTCTTTGTACCCTGAGTATTTCCTTCTAGTAGTTCCTTTGCAGGATTTTGTATACTCGTTGATTATATCATCCTTAGCCTGCTTGGCGAGTATGAAGAATTCTCTAAGGTTATCGCGTTGGAGCGAGAGGTCCTTCTTCCACCAGGGTGGTTGCGAGTTAACGAGAGATTATAACTTGAAACTTTCCCCAATTAGTGTTCCGGGGGTTTCTAAAGACTGCTGGTTTTGGAGAGTAATCGAACTCGCATTGGAACTGTACGTACCTGTGGCCTGAAAAGGATGGTCTCTCCAGTACCTTGATACCATGATACTTTGTCCCGCTACAAGTGTTTTATCTAGCACGTTGGACGAGGTGGGGCCTACAAAGGTGTATTCCTCCCCCACATTTGCTTTATATAAATTGGTAGAGAGAATAAAGTTTAAAAGGGACTCGCCTCTGTCGTTTGTCTGGGCTTCCCCATACGCTGTGGTGCGCATTGGCGTCTGCACCCACGATCAGTTGCTGGTCCTTTGGGCCGGGATCTACCAGACTCCTGAGTTCTTCCGGTGGAGCTGGCCTATCGTGTGCCATGTAGCAGGAAGGTACCATTAGGCGCTTCTTCTTGCTTTCTAGCACACACATAAGGTTAGCTTGAAGACCCTTCCGTACGAGTACGGCGGTTCTGTTCCTGCTTACCGATGGTGTATAGAACGCGTTGTAGTTTAAGGACTTTAGTCCTGCGACGGTATTTCCCGAGGCAATCCATGGCTCCTGGACTAGAGCTACATCGGCAGACCCGTGCTCCATGGCAATTAGGAGATCCGCCGACGCTACCTTGCTCTTATGGAGATTGAGCTGCAGCACCCTTAGCGACATGGGTACTGGGCTCAACTCCACTCGACGGGTTGACTATTATCGTCAGGTTACCGTCTTCTTCCTCTTCGGATTCATCCAGCGTTAGTTCAACCATTTTTAAACTTGAATAGTCTGTAATGAACGTGAAGTGCATTATCTCCGCTCACGGACGAAACGCTGACGAACCGCCTGCAAAAACACGTCCAAATTCTTTCAAAATAATTCTCGAATCCCAGATTAATCCCACCAAAATCCGGTTATAGTCCCGCCAAAATCCCACCTTAAATTCCACTTCCACGCCGGTATCCTATATTTTCCATCGCGCCTACGAACACCTAACCCAAACAGCCACGTGCCTGGTGTCATACAGGCCACTTGAATGTACTGACCGTAGTGCATCAACGTCCAATAAATCCTGCTCAAGTCAAGCACAAGTACCATTTAAATACCGGTAAAATCCCCTCAAACTCCCTCTTAAGTACCAAACAAATCCAGCTCAAAAACTATGAAAATATTATTCAAATTCTGCCTAATACCACCCAAAAACCCAATTAAATCATGCGAAAATCGAATAATAGTCCTAATAGTCCAGATAAAATAGTAATGCCGATCAAATACCACCCAACAAAATACCAAGTTTCGAATTCCTAAGCACATCTTAAGCTTGGTACTAACATAAGATTCAATTTAATTTCACTTTAAAAAGTTGGTTTACAAGAAACAGGGTTCATCTGTCAGTGTGATTATTTTCACTAATTTTCTTCAATTTCTTTGGTCACGCTGATTACCGAGCGAAATATATAGCGATTTTGGTACCTACATTCTTCGAGAGTATGTTAATGCCAAGCTTAAAGTTCAAGTCCCGCCAAAACTCCGCCCAAATGGGGATTAAGTGCACTATTAAATTTAAAGCTATATCGCCACAAAACAGCACCTAATCTCGTTTTTCTTAAAAAAAAATAACGTCATTCAACAACCCAGGCCGACAATATAAAAATGTTGAACCTAAACGCGAATACTTCTAAAAAGTCCCCCGCGTACAAATTTTAAGAAAATCACGGTCAAAACTGCTTGTTTGGGCACTCTTCAAAGCTAAAACTAAATTCAAACAATTAATAAAAATAATAACAAGAAAACAATGTAAAGTCTTAAAGGATCTAAAAACTAAACAGCTGAGTTTTAGAGAGATTAATAAAGTTAAAAACAATGAAGTAATGCCTGCTTACATTTCATTCACCTATAATTATTATATTTACAGTTTTCCATTCACAGTTTTGCATTTTTCTCTATATTTAATATCGTTTGTATGTCAGCTTTATAATATAGTCCAATATTCATAAAATTAAAACCGAAGTTCTAGAATAATATTAAACGACTATATCTTAAGTTTGATAAAAATATGTTGAAAACTGAAAAAGCTTCCACGCAAAACAGTCTCTCAGTTTTGAATCTATCTAAATGAAATTTCACAGTTAGTCTTGTTTATGCTCTCACTCGTACATAAATATGTATGCGGAACGGGCTGGATCGGATGACAGTATCATAAAGCTGCCATAGAAACAATTAGAAAATTGTTAGAAAAAAATTATAACTTTTCAGTTTTTTGTCAAATTTGATATATAGCCATTTTATATTATTCTACAATTTTTTGTAAAATTTTAAGAACGATCGAAAAATTAATACAATTAAGAATTATAACTTTTTTAGTTTTCAACAGATTATCATCAAATTTAAAATATAGCCCTTTTATATTATTCTAGAATTTCAGCTTTCATTTTATGAAAATCGGACGATGGTTAGGTATAGAGAAAAATGCAAGACTGTGAATGTAAAACTGTAAATATAATATATATATATATATATATAGGTGAATGAAATATATAGGTGAATGAAATGAAAGCAGGCATTCCTTCCTTGTTTTTTAGCATAAATATATATAATTTATACTGTATTAATTCCTAGTGATCGAAGTTTTATCTGCAGGGGCAGATCGGCACGCCGAAGTTAAGTTACTTTCTTATTGTAATTATGGTTATAGTAATAATCGAAAGCTATTAGTTTAAAATTTTGTAGAAAGGGGTATGACCAAATATGTACATATCTAATGTAATGCTCGGACCAGGAACTTTTGAGCCCAGGGATTTCATAAATACCAATTGGTATAAATTATCATCTAATCAACCCATAAGAAAGACATTTTAATTATAAATTAAAGAAGATCGTGAATGTGTCATCTCAGTCTAAGTCTGGCCTTCTAGGTTGATTTTAGTATTTTGTTTTAAGAACATATGTACATAAGTAACCAGGTACCAGCTAAATATATAAACGCTTATGGCGTATGAGAACACAATAAAATATTGTATACTTATACCCCGAAGATTGTACATTTTGGTATAAGCCCACAAAAGCTCTTCAAAATAAAATAGAAATAGGAGTTTTATATAAAATTGTAGCAATTCGAGACAATTTAGGGCAAGAATATACCATAATAACACCGAAGAGTTTCTCTAGCATACTTTGAACTTTGGCGCCTTCCATATTTTACTAATTCCTTGCCATCTTTGATTACATTTTCATAGTGAATGGCCAAATTTTCACAGAGAAGAAGAATTTAGAGTTGCACCGAAGAACAAGTCAAAAGAATTAGGGATGCAGAAACATCCATGTGTGCATCAATCGATGTTAAAAAAAAACGTCGAGTGAAACATCGATGTTTCTAAAAAAAAAATGGAATTTAACAATATAACTACATTTTATTCGGGATCTGTGATTTCAGGACTATCAATAGTATTATTGAAATGTGAATTCTTATTGTTAAATAAAAGCTTGTCCACAGATCCTTGTCCTCCGGTCACTAATAGTTTGTCCAGCTTTGCTAAACACTCTTTCCGCTTCGCATGACGAGGTATGTATAGACAAGTATTTGGCTGATACCAATTTTAAAGAGCACTCATCTATAAAAAAATTTTTATTCAGCATTTTTCGCATAACAATTTTAAAGTCTTTCCTTCCAATATTTTAGAGGGTCTTCATTTTCTCCAAGGTTTTCTTTTTAGTTGTGTGAAAAAACTTCGATGGTGGTGACCCAGCCATCGATGGTTCCGATGATTTGCAAACATCGATAACATCGATGTTTCACTCGATGTTTCTGCACCTCTATGGTGCACTTGGGCTGGTAACTAATTGGGTCCACCCACAGAGATCCACAGAGATATGCCTTCCATAAGGTCCCATAAGGGCCCATCCGAATTTAATGGATTCTTTTTTTTTAAACATCGAAAACATCGATTGACGCACACATCGATGTTTCTGCATTCCTAGTGCACCACCCACTGTTATTCTATTCACCAAATATTCTTTTATCTTTGTTACGGAACTGCTTTCTTGGGCAACGCCGGGCTAGCTCAGGAGGCCCAGGGCTGGGTTCGACCCAATGCCCGCAGTCCGCACAATAAAATACCGGACCATTCGGACGTCTCACTAATACTCATCACTAACAAAACTATCATCTCTAAACACAAAACAAAAGTAAACAAACGACAAATATAAACTGACGACACTGCTGGTACAAATTGGTGGCATTGGTGTTATTGCCACGACGCACCCACCCATCCTGTGATGCCTCCTGAGTATCTAGGGGCATCACCCATCTCCGGCGGACCGGAGCCTATTCCAAGCGGTCTGGCGACCGACCCATCTCCCCCAGGTAAATGACTCTACTCCATTTTCACTTTCATTATTTATTCCATATTAATATTTATCATACAATTCCTTTTCTTTTCTATGTGGTATTTCACCACTCCCGGCGAGAGCGTGGCCTTAGCCAAGGATGCGCTTGCGCCAAGGCTGTCTCTGTTGGGGGACTTAAAAACTAGCGGAGGAGAAGCGCCTTAAACATTTGGCCTCAAACGGCCACAAAAACAATTACTCCCTCTTTGGGGTCCCTAATCCCTGCTGGAGCTCCAATAGAAATATAGGGTACAGGGGTTCACGACAAAAAAAAACCAAATATATTCAAGAAAAAACAAGGACCGGCCTTCTTCCCCGTTCCCCCTTTGGTCACAGCTCTTGTGTTGCACCAATCCCGGACCCGGAATACTGCCAAGCGGAGAACAAAGATAACCCTACAATGCACAAAAATACAAAAGATACAAAATACAAAATAACCTATTCTAATCTAATTTAATTTCCTTTTATTTTCTGTATGGCCCTCCCCCGGAACGGACTCACCGGATTAGCACTTGGCGGCTTCGGCGTCGGAGCGTGCGGCGCGCTGTCCTTCTGCGGCGGCGACTCCGGCTTCGACTCTACGGCTCGGACGGCGCTGAAGTGGCGGCACGGGCAGTGCTAAGGCGGCGGCTCTGGGCTCTCAGTGGGATCGCGTGCCCTCCTGATGGTTCTGGCGGGGCACTGGCGGCACGGGCGGTGCCGAGTCGGTGGCACTCGCGACGCTACGGTGGCTCTGAGCTCTGGCGGCGGCACTGGGCGACGCGGAGGCGGTGTCCACGGAACGGTACGCGGCTCTGGGCTCTGGCGGCGGCACTGGGCGGCGCGGAGGCGCCTGATGATGCAAGCGCGCGCTCTCAGGCAGTCAACGGCTCGTTTTTTTCCTCCTGCACCTCCCTTTATTGCCTCCGTTCCTTTTCCGTGTTCCAAAGCTCCACGCCGTTACTTTTTCATTTCCTTCTTGCCCTTCCGAGAGAAAGGGTAAGAAACCTTTCTCTTAAGCCGCATTCAAAGTTCCCGGTTCGCTCAGCTTCCTCCTCCCCCTGGGACCACCGATCCTGCCTCTCGCTATCGATACATCGATAGCCTCTTGCCCATCCGAACTCCGAAATGCAACATCTTCCCCCAGTAAGCATAAATTCAGTGCATATTGACACATGTTTGTAAATTGATTTTAAAAGCCTCATTTTGTTGTTTTATTATGAAATAAATTAAAAATAAATTATCCCATTTTCCCATGCTTTCATTTCGACGCTATTTTGACGCACATATTTCCGCTACAAAACATTTTCACCCTTAAAGTCCCGTAGCGGAAATTTTTTTTTCAGTATAGCAGTATTTTTGATATCGCACTTAATTGCTATCTGATATTTTTATAGTTTCTCTCAGCAAATTACCAATGCATTATAAACTTCATTAAGAGTAAAGTATAGTCGTTTAGCTAGCACTTAGTTGTAATCCTAAAGTGCTGCCTAATGGAGTAATGTCATAATAGTATCACCAGTAGACACAAATGAATAAACTTAAGAGAATTACTAAATGGTAATATCAATTATTGGGGAATATATATATGTATGTATATATAAATATATATTATATATTTTATGTAAATGACATCAAATATACGCAGCTGAAAATATGTATATGGTCTTAGAAAGCCAGCGTGTCTAGTATAAGACAACTTTTTGATTGCTTGATGAGACGTCGAGACTGCCTTCGTAATTTTATCATGGGCAGAGCGTCGACTCGGTAGAAGTCGCAGTCGGCACGTTGATGACTGCTAATGATAGTGGCCTATTGATGACATGTGGTACTGCGGGGATGGTTCAGTACCCTGCAGTACCACTCATCAGTAATTCATCAACGTTTCATCAACTTTCAAGGGGGTGCTGTTGATTATACATCGATGACAGGCCATACAAACTGTTGATGAATTAAACATGGGTCCTAGGCTGTCATCAATAAAAATTAATCAACAATTCATCGATGATTCATCAACAGTTCAGCAACAAATTCATCAACAATTCGTCGATGATTCATCAACAATTCATCGACGGCCGGGCCATGGTACTGCCGACGACTGCCGTGTAGACTACCGTCGTAACTGTATTTTGTGCAGAGCGTCGACTCGGTAGAAGTCGCAGTCGGCATTTTGAATTGTTCCTATTCTTTATTGTTAACGTTTTCCGAATTTAGTTTTTCAAAATTGTTATTCCTAAATTCATAAATGGTATTGAAATCAAAATTTTATATCAGCAAATGCCATACATTATTTACGTTAAATAAAAAACGCTCTTTGCGGCTGTGTGAAAGCGGTATAAATTACATCAAATTCAGTACTATCGATAGATTAGTACCGGCAACACCAAGAATCGATATGTGTAATATGACAACTCTAGCGAACGGGAAACTGCTGCTCGACTCCTCTCACCCTGACCATTGTTCTCTCTCTATCTCTCTTCAGCATTCAGATTTCTTTGCTGCGTAAGAACAAACGATAGAGACTTTTAGTGCTGGAATTTGTTAGAGGAAGAAAAAACAATAATAAACGACTTGCTTTCATTCTACACAAAATATAAGTACAGGAAAGCACGAACACTTTGCCATAAGTAAAAAACTTGTTGAGTCCAACACATTGCCCCTGTTTTTAAAATCGTGTACACTGTGTATTGTGCTGGGCGTTGCGAGACGCAGCCAAACCTGAATAATTGGTGTATGGTGTGGTGTGGTCTGGTTGCGTAAAAGGTAAATTGCGAAGTAGGAAATCAGATTAGTTCAAAGTCGGAAATAATCGAGAAATGCTAGCATTGGTCGTTTAAGGGTAGAAAAGGTCCCGCTATCAGAAATTCAAAGTGATACGCCGTATATAGCATACATATTTTTTGTCTCACCGTCGCCATTTTTAATCAGTTTATTTTCACTGCCTGGGTGACGTGTGTACACTATATGCGTCTCCCTTGCACACTAGACAAGTAGATGCTTCGAGTGATTTAGTGTTGGAAAGCGTAAACCGGCGGCTTTGACCACCTTTAATAAACAATAAAAGCAAAAGTTTTCTATTAAATACGATTAAAATCAGCATTTATTCATTCAAGTATCTTGCTGGAAAGATGGAAGACCTAACCAAAAATATAATCTTCACAAATGCGATCAATGGGCAACCGGCTACAATTCAATACCAGACAGCGGATGGCACCATCCTTAAGCAACCGAAAATCGAGGGCCAGAAAGCTGAACAGCAGCCAACCTTCTACTACACGACAAATGTAAGTGTACAAAATGTCAAAGCATTACATCTACCCGGTAACTTTTTGACCTATCTTATCGACCCTTAGGGCAGCGGAGGCACTGTCAATCTCGCTCAGCTGGCCACCACGGACGACAACAAAACCTGCTACATAGCTCAACCAGTTGGTGGATATAATTACGCCCTTGTCAATGGGATGCCGCTCAACCAGGGTGCTGCGTTGGGCATCGCCACTGTTGACGCGCAAGGCCGCATCCAGATCGTGAATCAGAATAAGCCGCTCGCAACGGTTAGATAAAGAGTACCCTTTGTAGCCCTGAGCACAGTTTAATACGTTAAACATTTTTGTAGAACACTATATCTAACATCAGCTTTAAATGCGACGTCTGTTCGGATATGTTCCCTCATTTGGCCCTGCTAAACGCACATAAACGGATGCACACAGACGGTGAGCAGCAGCAACAGCAGCAACACAACACACAGCAGAGCGGAAGCGAATCTATAGCTGTGGTCAATGCCCAGGGTCTGGTACAAGCGCAGAACATAATCAATAACGGACAGATGGGACAAATACAAATAGTAGCCTCAGACACGCTGGAGCCAGTACAGCAATCTGTGATGCATCAACAACAACACGACTCGAAGGCGAGCAAATGCATCAATTGTGGTAACCCCTTGCTACAGCAGTCCAAACGCAAAGGACCAAAGCAGGTGCGATGCGAGTCTTGCATGCAGGCGGAGCAGGTGGCGCAACAGCAGCAGCTTTTTGTGGCGCAAGATGGTGAGTACACTCTGAATTTAACCCAAAACCTCTACTAATTTTTGTTTGCAGGCCAAATGGCTCATCCCGTGCAAATCATATCAACTACCCCACAGGCCCAGGCCCAGCTGCAGCAAATAGTTGCCGCCCAGACCGGCGGTACTACACCCAAGCGGGAGCCAAGCACTGGGTCTGGCCATCATCCAGTGAAAAAGCGAAATTCTCAGCAGATGACCAAATGCCAGAAGTGCAACGGGTCCGGCGTCGTCTTGGTAGGTCAACACTCTCATGCCGGTCATACCGGATCCGGAGGAGGCTCGATAAGCAAGGGCGTTACCGTTAAAACTGAGTGAGTAGATTTTTCATAGTGCAAGCCAATCCTACGCTAACAAAACCAAGGTGTTCGTCCTGCAGGAATCCTTCAAAACCCTTCAGTTGCAATATTTGTGGTGGTCTATTCTCACGCTACTCAAGTCTGTGGTCGCACAAAAAGCTGCACAGCGGCGAAAAGAACTACAAGTGCAGTATCTGTGGATTGGCCTTTGCCAAAGCCGTATATCTGAAGAATCATGCGCGCATTCACACGGGCGAAAAACCTTATAAGTAAATTCAACGTATAAAAGTACATATGATTATACTCTATTACTTAATATTATTCTTTTTTTTCTGGTTTCTGTCTTAACAAAGATGTCAAACATGTGGCATGCAGTTCTCTCAGTCGCCGCATCTGAAGAACCATGAACGCACGCATAGCGGTGAACGTCCTTACGTGTGTGGGGTGTGCGATAAAGGATTTGCGCGTCACGCCACTTTATGGAACCATCGTCGCATCCATACCGGTGAAAAGCCCTACAAGTGCGAGATTTGCGGTTCAGCTTTTTCGCAGGCGGCTCATTTGAAAAATCATGCCAAGGTGCACTCCGGCGAGAAGCCGTACAAATGCGAAATCTGCTCAGCGGCATTTGCAGATCGGTTCGCTCTGAAGCGCCATCGAGGTATACATCAAAAGTATGGCCAAACAGCTCCACGGCAATCTGGCAGCGACGGTATGATAGTTCACAAGCAAGAAATACCCGATATGGATGATGAAGCCCAGCAGGAGGTGATCATTGGAGGATTATAGATAAGAGCAACAACTGTCAATGCCAAGTCGACAAGCACTATCTCAGCAGAGACAGCAGGTCAAGAAGGGTCACCATATTCGGGCCATCAGCCTGGAGTGTGCCAACCCACTCAGCAATACGCCGGGGGCTATTATTACCAGCTGCCTACGATCCCAACCTCAGGACAACTGAGTACTAAATTTTCTCCAGAGATCAGCTATTAAATCGATAAACACGGATTAATCATCGCATAGGTATACATTTATATAAATATATTTTTTACTCTAGCTCTCGGGTAGGCTCTACGAAATTAGGGCAAACCCCTAAACGCTTTTAAAGTTAAAGAAAAACAAACGAACCTAATTTATTTAGTAGACTGTAACATACACTTAGACATATATTTAATTATTAAACGCTTATACATATATATATATATATATATATATATATATATATATATATATATACATATATATATATATATATATATATACACTAATATATTAGGCATAGTATATTTAAGTGTTATAGTTTAATCCGTATACAACAAGTAGGAGTGAGGAATCGGATTTATGTGGGGGATGGGGCATTATAGTGAATCCGAAGGGAAAATACGTACGAATCTGCGCAGGAAAAACCATATACATATGTATATATACATAAACCATAAATATATATATTCATTATAGCGTTTGAATACGATATCAGTTTTAAGCCTAAACCCATTAATTTACATAATTAATATGTATATTTAGTGCGTAAAAATACACAAATCAAATTAATATTTGAATAAAAGTAACAAATTTTACTTAAAAAGTTGGTTTTAATATGTAACAAAATATAAATTTCCACTTTTTAATTTAAAGACTCATCAATCGACACCACTATACATATGTATTTATTCATATATTTATGTAGAATTAAACAAAACCTATACAACAAAAGACGAATTTGGTTTGAAGTCAATGCATTTTTTGGTAATCAGAAATTGCGTTCTCTAGGCCCTAACTGTGGCTACACTAAACTTCCTTTTTGCGAATGATTCCATTTTATGTGTATTTTTAATTCCTTGCTGTGTATTATAATTTAAGTCAAAAATTTTTAACGCAGAGATGCAGTCATTACCGACCCTAAAGTGTATTTATATTCTTGATCACCATTAACAGCCGAGTCGATTTACCCATATCTTTCTGTCTCTCCGTGTATAAACAAACTACCCCTTCAGTTCTTAATGAAACATTGCAAATAATCGTTTGTAAATTTTTACTAGTAAATAAGTCAAACGGAAATTATAACTTGACCAGTTTTCAATATATTTCCATCTTAATTAGGACATGAACATTTTATATTAATTAAAAGGTTAATTTGGTTTAATTTCTACGAAAATTGGACTGCTATATCATACGAGCAGGGTATACAAACTTCGACTTGCAAAGTTAGCTTCTTGTCTTGGTTTGAGTTCAATTTATTTAATACCTGGTACCTTTTTTGTTATAGATATTTTAATAGTCGCGAAAAATCTTTCTATGATCTCTTTTTTCGATAAATTACGAAAAACCCAAAAATAGAGAAGAAATGCTTTTGAGCTTCAGGTGATTAATTTAATAAGACGTATTGCGAAACCGTTACAGATTTCAATTCGATCGGTAATAAAATGAAGCATTCAAAAATATATATACTGACCGTAATACATCAACGTCCATATTTATTATATTTACAGTTTTATAGTTAGAGTATTACATTTAAAGTTTCCCATTTTCCTTTATATTTAACTGCGGCTACTTATATGATATAGTAGTCAAATTCATAATTCATAAAATAAATACCAAAATTCTATAATAATACAAAATGGCTATATTATAAACTAGTGCCGCTGACCCATCGAACTTTGTTCCGCCTTAATGGCAATAAATAAGCAGAATGTGTTTCTTTTTTTATTGTAAAAAATACAACAAAATTAAATACCCAAATTTATTATTCATTAATATTTCTGTATTTTAGTACATAGGTTGCTTTTCACTTAAGAACCTTGTGATACACGACATTTTTGGTTTTATTTTCAGGCGCAAAAACAAACAACGCAGATGGTCTTCCGACCATGCCACGTATAATTGACCATGGGAAAAACATGAAAGTTCTAGATTTAAACCACAAACTTTTAAGGATTGGCCTTGTGATTTGTTGATGGTCATGGCAAATGTACGACGTATCGGAAATTAAAGTCTTTTAAAATTTAAACGGCATATCCGTTGGGATCATCGGGATTCTTGGAATAAGAACTTCCTCACCTTTGAATTTTCCTATCATTATCGTAGCGTAAATTACATTTGCACAGTTGCAAGTTTGTTATACAACGTTTTATAGTGACTGACCTTTCATGTCAAGTCATACGGGAACGCTATAGAACGGGATAAAAAGTATCTAATCTCCTGGAGAATCAGAGCAAGCCGGCAGAGAAAGATTCCCTGAGAGATTCCTCGGGGAATCCGCAAGGACTTCCCCTGCAGTTCCTCGGGGATTTTTTCTTCAAATGTGTGTGAGATGGTGATATCATCACTCGGACTACTTTTACACAGCACATATCAGCTGCATTCAACAGGGGAAATCTTCTCCTCTTCTACGGAACATAGCCACCGACAAAGATATTACGTTACATCGAAGGGGGTGGTACAATTATAGCGTAACTGCACTATTGGAAATGAATTCCAGCATTGCACATTGGTTGATCTTGTATGGCAATGGCGGCCAAAAATACTTCCAGTTGGAATATGGAGCTCCAAATTTCTGTACTGCTTTAGACCCAATATTACCAAGAATATTAAATAAAAGGCATAAACCATTCGTTAAAGCCCTAAAAAATTAAAAAAATAAAATTTTAAAACTTTAATTCAATTGCATACTTTCAGGCTAAGTAAATTCCTTATTAATTAAATATGTTTTATTGTTATTTTACTATCAATATACTAAATAAAATTCAAAGGTTCTTTCTATGTTGTAGGTCGTAATATACTTTTTTAGCTTTATCAGCAAATGAACCTTTTACTGAGCACCACATCTCAAAAATATTAAAACGTGATATTTTGCACTGATATGAATTGCCTGTATATAAAAACAAGGTTAATCAATTTAAAAGGAAATAAGTCAGAAGGTTGCAAAAAGTTGCGGCTCAAATTTAAAACACAGTCTAAGAAAACATTCACTATTATTAATAAATAAATTTCATTAAGCAGTAAGACACATATCACAACTTTTTCTTTGTCTTAATTCTATGTATAAAACAAGAAAGGAAGTTAACTTCGGCACGCCGAAGTTTATATACCCTTGCAGATAGAACTTCTATAAATAGGAATCCATACAATATAAATTATATATATTTGTGTTAAAAAACAATGAAGTAATACCTACTTTCATTTCATTCACCTATACATATTATATTTGCAGTTTTACATTCACTGATTTGCATTTTTTTTCTACATCAAACGATCGTTTGTATGGTACCTATATTATATAGTCGAACGATTTTCATGAAATTTGACACAAAATTTAAGACTAATATAAAATGGCTATACCCCAAAATTGATGAAAATCAGCTGAAAACTGAAAAAGTTATAAATTTAATTGTATTAATTTCTCGATCGTTCCTATGGGAGCTATATGATATAGTAGTCCGATTTTCATAAAATTTTACACAAAATTGTAGAAGATTAAAATGGCTATATCTCAAATTTGATCAAATTCTGTTGAAAACTGAAAATGTTATAATTTTTTTTGTAAAAATTTTCCGATCATTCCTATGGCAGCTATATGATATAGTCGTCCGATCTGCCCCTTTCCGACTTATATACGAGTGAGAGTATATAGAAGGCTAACTACAAACTTTCATTCAGATAGCTTTAAAACTGAGAGACTAGTTTGCGTAGAAACCGACAGACGGACAGAAGGACAGACGGACAGACGGACAGACGGACAGAAGGACAGAAGGACAGACGGACATGGCTAGATCGACTCGGCTGTTGATCCTGATCAAGAATACATATACTTTATATAGTCGGAGGTTCTTCCTTCACTGCGTTGCAAACTTCTGACTGAAATTATAATACCCTGCAAGGGTATAAAAAATTCGCACCCGACAGGTCACTAACGAAACACTAACTTTAAAACAATAACACAACACCTAATGACATATTTGATGATGATTGGACACGATTTAATATTATAATTAAACAAAGATATTACGTTACATCGAAGAAGGTGGTAATTTATAGCGTAACTGCACGATTGGAAATGAATCCCACCATTGTAATCTCGATCTCTTCCGCAAATCTGTTTGACGGTGTTATGGCTGGGAGGTCAGAGCTGGGGCGGCAAACAACGATAAAAGAGCTGAAAAAAGCAAACAAATGTACAATCCATTCCAAATGATGGTACTGAAAAGTGATTTCAATTCATAGTTATGTGTAACGAATAACGTAGAGCTGGTGGTATTCCCGACTGTTAGCCTGCACGCAAATATATCCGGCTCTGTCTCGTCAGCAAGTGTCGTGGTGTTCATATGTGCTACAGTCATTGGGGCTCTTGGGTAATCTTTAATAACTAAAAATTGCGTGCTAAATCAAGAAAATTAACTAACCGGAAAGAGGAATAAGCATAGGCGACAGACAGACAGAAGTATAGAAAGAAGAATCCTTTCAGCGAATAGCTTTCGCACCTGCAGATGTTATTGAGGTGTTTCATGCCCACCCTGCCATGGTCAATATCATCCCGTAAATATTTATTATTGACCCCTTGATTCCAAGAGCTTTCACGACGACCTCCCGATCAGCATGGAGTTAAAAGTATTGCTTACTTAATCATAATAATTAGTTTATTAACATACGAAACGAAATATATTAAATTCCCTACATTCATATTCCTTTTTCTCTAATTCAGCTGTGTTCTTCCGATAATTCTAGTTTCATATTATATATTAGCATCTAAAACCAAGCTTTAAAATTTTAATTACTAAATATGTACAGCATTACTAGTAATATATTAGCTAAAAATAAAATATTATAATGATAATTCATAACAGCTTAGATGACAGTTTTTTTTGTTCAATTTCATTCATCAATATTTATGCTCAATAGTATATGTCTTAATTATTTAAATGTGTTTCGTTCAAAAGATTTTCTTAAGTGCATGCATGATAATTCCTTTTCATTCAATATTCAATACTTAAATAAAGCTATTTTGTATTTTTATTATTTCATGCTGCCAACGGGTATATCATACGGGTGAACAGGGATTATAGTGTGTCTATATCAGATAAATATTTGGGAACGCTCACCATACTTTTATTTATCCATCGATGAAAGCGCTTCCATTTGATGGCAGTGTAGCTGAAAGTAAAATATAAGCCCAAAAACAACAAACACAATATTTTCCTTA